CTGTGTGTAACTCATATTGACCCAGTAGTATGATCTATTGTGGATATGCATCAACTGAGAAATAGGTAGATGCAAAATAGAATACTGAGAACCAACTTGAACAAACCGACACATCGAAAGTATCATCTGTTTTTGACCTCAATAACACTTGAAAATTTGACGCGCAGTCATAGGCTTTGGTTCTTCTTCCTCATAAAGAAAATTGAGGCACATCAATGTGATTTTGATAGTGTGACTGTGTTACGTGCTAATATATCCCGCATCATAAAATTAAGAGCTTCAGACAGTACAGGGACACGGGAGTGAGGCTGAACATATGGTTTAGCATTTCCAGTGTTGATTCAAGGAACCACAGCCTTTGTGCGCCCTATATCCTTAGACTTTCTGAACAATAAGTTACAAGAACTTTGCAGCATTTCTTAAAATATTTCAGCAGTCTCCCGAGTGCAATTCACAAGTAAAGGGGATATGTCACTTGTCTACATTTGATTAGAATTACTTGTTGATTTAAGACTAGGACCATCTTTCCCCTTATAAAAACATAGCTTTTAGGCTGAATTTCTAACAACGAACATCTTGACCTTTAGCTTTCAACATCCGCTACACATGGTTAACAAGACTTTACCTGGAATCATATCCCAAGATAGATTCTCGTCAACGAATATATCATGCATGTCATTTGATCATTTATTTCATATCTGCTGTAGACTTCTGAGTTTCTAGACTAAGTTGACTTAAGCAAAATGGAGTGGTGGCTTGTAGCGGAATCCAGGAAACGTGTTTCGTCCTATTTTGGAGTCAGAAACAGGACGAAACGCGCGGCCTGGATACCTATGCTAGTCACCATCCTTCTTTGCCTATAATGCTTGTGACTATAGGCAATATCAAGGCGATTCACTTAGGATGCACATATCTCAATAAGAGATTGATCAATTGCATTCCTAAGCATCAATACGATGATTCAAACAGACAATACGAAATTAAGTAAGTTGGTTTACATTGTTCTTGAAGTATTTTCACGCTGTCTTTTTATGTATACGATAGTTACTTCTCTCTCCTAACTGGGTTTCAGAAATTTCACTCAGTTTTATTTTGATTGCTTCAATTTCACTACTTCGACTTAATTATTCGTACTCATTAGAACTTTACTACGATTGGTAATCAATCATTTTTCCAATTTCCGTTTTTATTATTTTACAAATGAGTTTGTGCACTGTTTTCAGTGACAAAAATGTATGGAGTACAGGAGTCTTACAAAGTGAATTCATTGATGGTTCGGACTGACAATTGCTGAGGCTGACGCGCACATCCAGGACCGTGGATGTTGTTGGCATCTAGTAAAGGAAAACATTTTCACAACGTGACTTGTCTTTATCTGATGGTGATAGTCGACCAAGTGCATGCATCATAACTACATTACATTGCTTGCCACAATACAACTATACTATTATTACTAATAATTAAATGAATAACAGAATGTTTGATGTCAAAACATATTTAACCGATGGAAATTAAAGACCCAATAACACAGCTGGAGATAAAATCACTTGATAACTGTTAGTCAGAAATATGTGTATTCTCATTTCAGAAATTAGAAAACGAATACATCATTTTGCACGGAATAACCTCTAGACGCTACTCAACTACCTAGTTACATGTGTGAGTGTCGATCTTACCAGTTGTGCTTTCTTGTTAATTGCCAAGAATGATGTATCGTTTCGCAGACCAAATTGTACAACAATTAAACTTAAGTAGCGAGAGCAGACGATTTTGGTTTGCTAGGTGGATCGAGAACTGATTCAGTTTAGGAATCCACATGCTAGCATTAACAGTATGTTTGATTTCCTACTTAAACTAAATTCGAGATGAATACCATCTACAACTCATTGTATATCGATAATATATTTATCTGATCACAAATACTTACGTTACTTATCAAATTTTCGATCCCTTCTATTATTGGTCGTAGAATACATAGTAAGAATTGATATTTACATTCCATTCGCTTTTTAAGCAACGTTGTTAAGTTATTAGTAAGAAAACTTTATACTCATCATCTCATTTAATTTCAAATATCAACCTTTAAACTCCCTATTTTGTAAAGTTACTTCTACCTAATGAAATCTAACTCATACCCCTCATATTTAACAATAAGTATAATAACCAATTTTATTAGCTTCTATAAGGATCACCAGTTGCTTGAAGAATGCAAACGGATTTGTATGTTAAAATTACGAGTTGAGATTACAAAGATATACTTCTTTTCAATTAGTTTCTTGTCATGGTTCTACACTGGTGTTGAAGTGGATCTCTACAATCAGACGAATACATATTCATATTTCTGAACACACATTATTTCAAACGATCATTTATGACTAATGAATTACACTTTTATTCTAGTCACTTTTGAGCATATACTTTATGACTTCATGTCAGTTTGTGGAGACAGCATTATTCTCATTGTTTATATGAACAGCTGAAATATTCTGGAAGATTACAAACGAGCTGAATGTAATGACAGTCTTTTTAGTATGATGCTCGTCATCAGTGTGAATACACCAACGTGTAGCCTGCACTGGTATCCAATTATCTCGAGCTCGATTGAAATCGATCAATTTCTAGACCAGTGAGTATGCATCGTAAACTATACACGTCTAACTTCGATTAATTTGTAAATTTGTGAAACATTCCATGCATCATGTTAGGCTGATATTTATCTCATAATCGACACATATTTCACTCCATTGTTCACGAGTTCTGATGAATGCATTTCTGTTGGCTACATTTTCAATTTCTTCAGTAATGTGCTCAACATAAATATCAGTTCTTGAATTTTGTCAAATATGGATTTCGTTCTCATTTTACTTGACTGTGCTTTGTTCATTTTACTTTCATAAATTATCATCATTCTTTGCACTGTACTTTCTATTTTGTTTGAGCTTTGTCAATGTTTGTTCTCCTCTCTATTGCTTACAGCACACTAATCTGTTATATCCGCGCGAAGATTAAATCACGAGTAACTTCTGAGACATATTAATTGACTACTATGCTCAGTTTATTGACTACTGTCTCCCACGTTTACAGTCACTTTTTGGCTTTATTGCGTACAAATGTTATTTCCTATTTTATGGTGCATTGCGGTCTGTTTGGTGGATATATAAACCGAGTATGTTTGAAATAAATCATCCATATTGCAGGAGTTGGTATTGTGTTCTGTACTCAAGCGGACGGGCTAAGCGGACAATAGGACCAATAAGGGCGCTAGGCTGCTCATACCGGTCGAACATCATTGGTTTGGCATAGGGCTAGGATTGTATAAGTCGTATTTTGATTGTTGGATAAATCACGTGATTAAAGCCGGACATAAATTCATAACATAAACCTACATGCTTTTGATTTTGCACTAGATCGGTAGATATTTTACCGCTTAACTGGCATCCAACTTATTTCTTGTCCGGTTTATATGAACTTTCTTTGATGTGTAAGATATACTTTTCTACCTAATAAATATTTTGTTTTCTTTATCATATTTCACACATTTGGTTTGTAATATGCTCAGGCATTTGAACTTTTGTGTTTGTTTATCTTTCTACACAGTGTTTTTATTAAGATTATTCTGTTTTGTATAATTTGATAGTTTAGCATTATCTACTTTACCATTTAGTTTTATAGATCAATGATCTTAATAAATTTTTATGTGATGGAATTTTTGAAATCCATAGAGATAATATATCACGGTGTTCTGCTAATATCTGTTTTCCTATCACATTGTTTCTGTCTATTGACGAGACTCGATTCTCCGTTGCAAATTCAAGACCTGATACTATGGGTGACAAGTTCGACTTGTGGTGATTTCTTAGGTGATGCACTTTGAACTGCCACATAATTAGATGATTCTATTAATCTTATGAGCCTCGCTTTGACCATTCTCATCAATCATTTCGATAAGATACTCTCATTTCAGCTAATTCTGTGTAACGTCTATCCTGATCAACTTAACGCCTTTGAGTCAAACTCTTCTCATTTATTGAAGATTCAGCATCACTTTATTCAATTCAGTGATCGCTGCATGTATCAAAATTAGTATCACTTCTGGAGCAATAACAGGTGATTGTGCAAGCAGGTTTTTCAAAACTTCTCTGACTGTGTTATAACTAGTTGAATGGTCCATCATAATACATACTGTAACGAGAACGCAATTTCTCAAATACTCTACCACTGAGCCGGCACACAATATAGTTAGTTTCCAACTTTATGAATTCCATATATCAATGTTTACTTGATGAGCTTTCGAGCTAAATAGAGATAAATATCATTAGATTGCTAAATTTACTAAGTGTCCTATTTTAAAGCTCGTACAATGGAAAGCTTTTCACAAGGCGATGTTATTTCAGATGAATAACATACGATTAAGCCTGTCGTTTACCTTTATCTTTATCGGATCACAAACAGACAACTGATCGGCTATGAATAAGCATAGTTATCAATGATCATTGCGAAAAGTGTAATCCAAATCAAAGGAAATAATAACAAGCAAACGCAGGCCAACAATTATCTACGAAACATTTTGGACTAATTGAGAAAGACACTGTATTTGGGAAGCATATTTTGCAAAGTCACCAACTACTATCTGATGAATTTAAACCAAAAGTGTTTCATAAAATACACATGAGATGGATAAATAAATAGATGTAGGATATTCATGCTCTTCAACCATTGAACTATGTACCACTAACATCGTTTATTTCGTCTTACATATGAACCACCACTCAATACATCCGACTCAACGATTTCTGGTGAATAAGATTACAAACTCAACCATTGCATGTAAAATATCTTTAAAATGAAGGATCTCCACAAACAAGTCATCCTAAAAGCCAATTTGCATTGGTCTACGTATGTACCGTTACTAAGACGTTACAGTAATTGTTTATATCATTCATCGCAAACAAATATTCATCGTTTCCTTCTCAAACGTAATGTAGACAAAAAAGACTCAATGCGTTAATTACCATATATTATGTATTGTGTGTTAGAATTAGAAAATGTTATTCAAGAATATTGTTACGTTCACCACATACTAAATTGCATCAGTATGTTTCAGTGTACAATACTGTTATTGTTATCTGATGATGGTAGTGGTGTTGATGAGATTAGAAAACGAGTGATCTGAAAGAAAAGTATATGTGAAAGGATTTGATCATTCTTGGTAATATTTCAGACACGAGATTATTCTCATGAAAGCATTCATTTTCACATCTTTGAATATTATTATACTTTTAGATTAAGATAATAATGGAGCATGCAATGTGTAATAATATAGCAAAAACGAGGGTGGAAATTTTATGAATATTCTAGACGAGACATGTGATGACGATTTCTTCAGCTTTGATTTGTCAATTCTATTTAATCGATAGAAGACAATCACGTCTTATCACAAATCGAACAACACTAAAACAAGTATTCTGTTTCACTATAATAATTTTAATATAATTGTACACATATTGACGGAATATATATGCAACTATACTGGAACGATTATTGATTTGCAAGGGTATCATTGATGTCGACAACCGGATATTGATCATATACAAATTGAATACACTTTCAAAGATGCTTACAAAACATTTTGATCAAATCATATTCATCCAACAGCTAGCGACAAAACAACGTTAATCCACAATCTGTGACTAGATATTGATAACGTTTTGTGAACGGTGACTACCATGCTAAATGGTCATGATTAAATGGATTGTGTATTTACAATCAGTTTTCAACGAAACTTGAAACTAGATATGTATTAAAATATAACTATAACACCACGATTCAATACTCACTTGTCACTCTTCATCTGACCAATCTGTGAATTTGTAAATCAAGTGAACAGTAAAAATCATGGAATGTAACTACAACCGTAACAATTTTGTTAATATACACATTCCCTCTTTCTGTATTGTTGTTTGATGAGGCCACCTAAACCGATAAACATTTGCACTAGTCTATCGACTGTTGAAATACTGATTCCGATAATCAACAAATTGATACACGTTTGCTAAATATAGGTCTTGATTTTAGGGAAATGAACAGCGTTAGACTCAATAACGGTCGTCACATATTCGAATTACGTAGACAACAGACGACTATATACAAGACGTTTTTCTTTAGTTTCAACATTGTTGATTTGATTTGACAGAGCTCGTTGTGTAAGTAAGTTATTGAGATGTGGTTGAAATGGATATGAACTGTCAGTCTATTCTTATTAATTCTGAGAATGACCTTAGTAAGTGAATGGTGTGCTGGTTCCATACTGTAGATAATATCACTCGGGTATGTTATTTCTACTGCACACTATGTTTATGTTATTTCGGTTTCATACAAATCTAATAAGTCATGTTATGGGTATCCACGATTCAAACTTGAAAAGCAATTTTCAAAAGATCCTGTAAATGATATCACGCAGAAGAATAATGAAAGCTGCACAACCGAAATAGCCAGCTCAAACAGGTAAACTCCAACAAAGTTAGTAAGCTTATAACAATTTATATACAATAAAGAGAATCATAAGAAATCCCATGCCAAAAAACTAAGACGTTATTCAAATTTTAGAGAAAATTTGACACCTAACGACTTTATAAGTGTGATGACTGGAGAGACAGAATTTTACTCACTAATACATCATAAGGCACATATTGAACCAGACATCACAGAATTCTGAGCTATTTTATATGGGGTACAATCTACGGTAATGCAACACTTCCTTCAATCTTTTGGACAGATTTCGTTGACGAGTGGCTATCAATATGAACAATGATGTTAGGGTTTCCTGAGAATGAGCTCCAACCACCGAACAAGTTGGGTACATGTTTAAAATTATTGATGATAACAGGCTACCCCTTTCACTCATTTCACGACCCATGCTTACATACCATTACACATCTATCACTTCTGAAAGTCACACATTACGTTGACAGACTGATGTTATCAATATTTTACAGTATCACTGATATCAACAAATTTTACAATACACACAAACGACAGAATTTATCGTGAACTTACCACTCACTGAAACGATTTCTGAAATGAAGTACAGTATATTTACTTAGTGCTGAAAACTATAAGCGATGTCAACTCAACTAAACACATTACATATTGATCAAGTGTGGATATCAACAAGAAAACTGACATGCATTGGCGATCCACTCACTAGTTATCCACGTGCTATCCACATTCACAGTACCCGATTCAAGTGCATTCTGTAACGATGGAAACCACGTTTCTGATGAATATACTTTTTCCATTTCACTCGTTAACACGGCAAGTTGAACATTGATGGTTTCGTCATGAATATTCTCTGGCTTTTGTAATGGATGGATGTCACATGACAGAGTAACGGAATTCAGTTTTGGCTCCAATTCCTTCACCACATTCACAACCTTTAAGAAATCATATGAATCGGTCAAATTATTTCGTTGAAGTATTTATGAAAGTGATCATTCTAACTCAAAACGTAAATTTTATGGGTGTTCATATAATTATTCATATTTGGATATTTATGTCCAGTCACAAAAATGGTTACCCGGAGTGACAATAACCTAACACTGAATCATAGTGATATTCAACATTTACCCTTCGGTAATAAAGTTCCATTTTACGTATTTTACAAATTTTCACATCAATGTACACGTCCCATTACAACACATCATTTAACATTAATTGTTGCGCGTTTACGAGATCGATGTGCAGGTTCACTCAAAGATTCATGTGGCCAATATATGGACATCGATTGAAGTAAAATAACTCGAATAATGTTATCCTTCACGTCGCTTCATGTCAAAGAGCTCGAGTGATAACTTTTAGACTTACATTTGCACAATATCTATCCAAAACGTCTAGGGATTCTCTTTTATCATTCTTTCCAATCAGTTCATCCCACTCCTTAACGGAGACAGAGAGTTTCATCACAGCGATATCTAAAACAAACCGGAATTCAAACATATTAGATGAAAGCATAATATGGACACGAAAATAATTGAAAACGTCAGCATGGTTGTCGTGGAGGAAAATGTACATCATTCACAATAATCCGTCAGTATCACTGTGAAATTCGTATTGTTTATATGCTGATCAGGAGACACTAACAGTTTAGACGACCATTTATTCAAGTCTCATAAGGCACATATTGAACCAGACATCACAGAATTCTGAGCTATTTTATATGGGGTACAATCTACGGTAATGCAACACTTCCTTCAATATTTCAGACAGATTTCGTTGACGAGTGGCTATCAACATGAACAATGGTTCTAGGGTTTCCTGAGAATGAGCTCCAACCACCGAACAAGTTAGGTACATGTTTATCAAGAATTATTCTGAATAATATGAGCTGTTTGGTTTTGCATAGCATCGTGGGATAAATTTGTTGAAATCACTGATTTTCGTCTTCCGTTCCAAAGCAATATCACCACACACATATTCACATCAATAGACAGTTACTTCATCAATCAGTCAAACACGTCTACTGTGATCCTATTGACCTACTGCGCATTAAACTCATGTATATTGAAGTCAAAGTTCAAATATTTGTGAAAATCTACAGAGTCTCTCATGTCTTCCTGTGAAAACCTATGATGAATTAGACAACAAAAAATACTATTCCATGTCTCGAGATCTTCAATTTACAAATGAGAGAGAGGAAGAGAGATAGACAGACAGACAGAGCGAGAGAGAGAAACGGAAAGAGAGAGAGAGAAAGGAGTCGTCAGTCGAGCAAACATGCCCAGAGAAGAGATCATGAACCGATTTATGTTAGACCATCACAATTGGAAACCTGTAAGCACTGGACGGCCGTTCCGTCCTATTATGTGACTCCTCAGCAGTGCGCATCCACGATCCCACTCACGAGATTCGAACCCAGGGCCTTCGGTCTCGCGCGCGAACGCTTAACCGACTGGACCGCTGAGCCAGCATCCAATGGTGATAGTTTCCAACATCAACCAGTCCACGAAAACGCGCGACCAACTTCCGTTATACTGAGGTAGATACCTGTCTCTACCCGACAAGGATTAACTCCACTGGTCACGGCTTCTCACTAGAACTCCGAGACTTCCTTCACGAAGCCGTCCAGTGCTTCTAGGTTTTCAATTGTGATGGTCTAACATCAATCGGTCCATGATCTCAATCAAAAACTTAATAATCTCCACAACCCCTATACTAATACCGAGAGGAATTCCTTCCATGTCAGACGCTATTTCAGGTTGAGATGTTTCGCTCTTCATTGTCGTCTCCCCATCTAAATGACAGGAGGACATCGAGAAATAAACCGACAGAGTAAGTTCAATAGAAAAATGAAAGCGTTTTAACTGATCACCGAAATATCATTCTGTAGTCAGGTTTTTTATCTTTACTTATGCCTATGGTAATTTGTCTTTATTTGCACGTTTTCGCCTGTACTGTATTGTATGTTTTCAGCCTTTGCATGTTTCTTATCTTTACTTGCTTTCTTGTTTCTTTAATTTTGTTTTTAAATTTTTGTTTTTCGAAAAGTCTCACCATATTTATTCGCTTGCATTAATTCATCAATAGACCAGTATATTCTTCTGTATATGTTATATTTGAAACAGCAATATCCATTCTTCATTAGTTCTCCGTATTTCATACTCATACTTATAAACCCTTCATGCATATCGAAGAGACAGTTCTCCATTAATTCTCCAAACCCGGGATATCTCCTCGACATAATGTTCTTCAGCTACAATTAAAATATTTAGACAGTGTATTACTGCATAGTACTTTTTAATGGCATAATGTCCATTTGTAAACAATTAAATATTTCGTAATCGTCGGTATGTATCATATAGAAACTTTGTGAGAACTTACTACTATTTTTCTATGAAATCGCTTTCAAATAAATCCTGATAAACGTAGATAACAAATGCTACGGAGGCCACATAACACTGATGTTTGGTGTTTAGGTCCGCAGAATATCAAAAATAGCAATATACATCAATAAATGTCATCAAAGCGAGCATCGATGGACTATTCGTTGAAATTTTGGAATTAATGGTACGAAGATATAAATATCATGCGATAAACTGAAATTTATAATCTCTCTAAACCAACACGTAACTGCTACTTGATCGATGAACACAAAACGTAATACGCTCAAGAGAACTTCATAAGGTATGATCAGCTACAAACTTACATCAGCGCACCTATCAGCGACTACGTACGTCCCAAAATATTCGTTGAACAGGTGGGTTTCTAAAATGTACAACATTCATTAAACATAGTTTGTGGAACAAACATTCACCGTCAATGAAATACTTCATAAATCGGTTTGTTAATCAAATCACTCTATTCAGTGGGTATTGTAAGCCATACTACACATAAACCTTTTTGTTGACCGACGAATCAGTGATAGAAACATTAGGATTTTTCAGACGTCACTGCTGATTTCATCCTCGATTCAAACTAATACAATCTTCGTTTTGACGTGTTGGTGAAACCAATTCAGGAAACGTTGTCATAATTTATCATCAAATTCTCAACTAGGGAAGCGATCTGGAAACTTGAGATGAACGGATCAAAATCAACTTGTCGAAGTTCAAGTGAACTTGTCTAGTGAAAACACTGAAATGCAGAACAGAGGCAATCAGCGTTGCAGTCGAATGATATTTCTAATCAATCACTTGATTCCTCGGTGTGAATTTAATGTCAGAGTGTTTGTGTGTTGAACGCCTTTACAAGCATGTAAATATCAGGAGCTTTTGACTGATCAAATTGTGGAGATCGATTCACAAGGCCTTCACGAGTCGACCGTTCTCCGACCCATCCAATAATCTATATAATTTCACTACAGTCACATCATCGATATTACGGCCAGTTTGTTAGCATCATTCAGTTCATACAACATTTACAAACAAAGCAACGAACACATTTCATCCAGTCACTTTTACACACCTCAGTTGAGATCATAAAATGATAACCGCAGATTTAAATTTCAAAACAACTGCCTCATATACGGACAACTTACCATCGCTAAAGATTTCCGGATCTACAAGTCAAAATAAATATTATTTTGCGGTTGATGATAACAGGCTACCCCTTTCACTCATTTCACGACCCATGTTTACATACCACTACACATCTATCACTTCTGAAAGTCACACATTACGTTGACAGACTGATGTTATCAATATTTTACAGTATCACTGATATCAACAAATTTTACAATACACACAAACGACAGAATTTATCGTGAACTTACCACTCACTGAAACGATTTCTGAAATGAAGTACAGTATATTTACTTAGTGCTGAAAACTATAAGCGATGTCAACTCAACTAAACACATTACATATTGATCAAGTGTGGATATCAACAAGAAAACTGACATGCATTGGCGATTCACTCACTAGTTATCCACGTGCTATCCACATTCACAGTACCCGATTCAAGTGCATTCTGTAACGATGGAAACCACGTTTCTGATGAATATACTTTTTCCATTTCACTCGTTAACACGGCAAGTTGAACATTGATGGTTTTGGCAAGAATATTCTCTGGCTTTTGTAATGGATGGATGTCACATGACAGAGTAACGGAATTCAGTTTTGGCTCCAATTCCTTCACCACATTCACAACCTTTAAGAAATCATATGAATCGGTCAAATTATTTCGTTGAAGTATTTATGAAAGTGATCATTCTAACTCAAAACGTAAATTTTATGGGTGTTCATATAATTATTCATATTTGGATATTTATGTCCAGTCACAAAAATGGTTACCCGGAGTGACAATAACCTAACACTGTATCATAGTGATATTCAACATTTACCCTTCGGTAATAAAGTTCCATTTTACGTATTTTACAAATTTTCACATCAATGTACACGTCCCATTACAACACATCATTTAACATTAATTGTTGCGCGTTTACGAGATCGATGTGCAGGTTCACTCAAAGATTCATGTGGCCAATATATGGACATCGATTGAAGTAAAATAACTCGAATAATGTTATCCTTCACGTCGCTTCATGTCAAAGAGCTCGAGTGATAACTTTTAGACTTACATTTGCACAATATCTATCCAAAACGTCTAGGGATTCTCTTTTATCATTCTTTCCAATCAGTTCATCCCACTCCTTAACGGAGACAGAGAGTTTCATCACAGCGATATCTAAAACAAACCGGAATTCAAACATATTAGATGAAAGCATAATATGGACACGAAAATAATTGAAAACGTCAGCATGGTTGTCGTGGAGGAAAATGTACATCATTCACAATAATCCGTCAGTATCACTGTGAAATTCGTATTGTTTATATGCTGATCAGGAGACACTAACATTTTCAACGACCATTTATTCAAGTCTCATCATGCTCATAATTGATAGACTAATTTCTTATGAAATAGTTTGAACGCGCCCAAACTGAGCGATCCAATATTCGATAATTAATTAGAAGTCTTTAAATGAATGAACTAAAACAAGAATCAACAATGCGTCAAGCTAAACAAAACCAGGATGCACACTTCAATTCTCATCCAAACAGAACCCATAAAAATCATCACTCATGATGATGTGCACTGTAGTTCGAGTGTAAGAGCAAAATATGTGATGCTACTGAACATCCATTTAAATCGTACTGCATGATTTATTCGATATACATAGAAATAAGCCTGATTCAATTAACATTTAACACGACACATGATGGAAGTGCAATTCATCAGATGAGATTACTGTCCAACTAACTTACCTGCACTTGTAAATTCAAGAAACTGAGCTGTCAACAAAAAAAAACAAAACAATGGAAATTATGGAGACGAGACGTTCACCTGAATTAAGAAACGCTTAATTAGTTTACTGGCAAGTAGGCACAACAAGTGATTGATCAATGAGTAATGAATAGCGTTGTGGTGGACCAAACAAATATGAACGCAAAAAGTATAAACAAAGTTACTAAAGATCAATAGTAATATTAGTATATACAGTTAATTGTTACAAATACACTAAAAATAGGGACGTTACTTAAATTGACCAAACGCTGCGTGTTCTGATTCGGTCCGGTAATGTAAATCCACAATTATAAATGTTTAATAATTCCAAACAGGTTGGGCGAACTCTCTGGTGTTATAATCCGACGTAGAATGTGATGTATTCCAATTACAGTCTATAAATAATGATAATATTTGATTTAGAATTCAGCTAATTCGATCACAAATGGAAATAGAACGAGGGATGTGTGAGTAGTAATGTATTTGTTAGCCGGTAAGCATATGTCACGCTATGCTCGAATTACAGCGGAAAAAGGTGCTCAAGGTCATTAACATAAACAACACGTACAGTCATTTAATAATAAATGTACATGCGGTGAGAAATTGACAAAATAAATACAAATAATATTAGAAACTATTTACAAGATAAGCTTGTTAGAGTTATCTCCACATAGCTCCCCCCAGAGTGTCCGGAGGTAACACTGGTTATAATAACGACAACAAAAGATGTGGGAATATGACATATATGTATATAAAAAAAATAATATTTACAGTTATAACCAACAAAAATGTGGAGATGCGTATGATATGCATATTAGTGAGATATACCGTGTGTTATCGTGTGAAAAGAAATAATAACAGTGATGTTACAGAATAACAAACACAAAAAAAATGAATATACTGTTGTTTAATGTCTTGTTTAGCTAACAATGATAATGTGTAAAACTGTTAATGACCCACACACGCACAAACAAAATTGAACTGTTTATTTTTGTGTATAACGAATAAATAATTACATAGAGTTTACCCGTTTATTATTGTTACAATTTTTTTTAAAAAAAATGTGACAAAACGAATAATTGTGGAAAAAAAATGTGATTAATTATGAACACTGTGAAAAGAAAAAAAAATTTTAGATGAGATTAATAGTGTAGGTCCTCGATAATTGTTTGCTTTGATTGTTTTATTTGTTTGTTTGTTTTTATATGACAAAATGTACATAACGCTTTGGTTTCTTTATAAGTCTCCCAGAACGTGTTAAACAAGAGGGTGTAGTGCTAAGTTTTTCCTCTTCCTCTTGATTCTTAGCAATTGATGGGAGTGATTGTTTGTTCGCAGTATTGTCTTCTGTGTCTTGAGGGACTTCGTAGAAAGCTGGTTTTATTCGATCTATAGAAATTGTCTCATGGTTCCCATTTTTGTTAATAATGAAATATTTGTCAGTGCGTTTTATTACTTTATAAGGGCCTTCATATGGTGGTGTCAGTGGCTTTCTTACCGCGTCTACTCGAACAAAAACAAATTTGCACGTTTCTAAATGTTTATCAAGATGGACTCGATTGTCGTATTCTCGAGGTGGTATTGCTCTGATGCTCTGCATCATTTGTAGTAATCTGCTTACAAAGCGAGAAGGATCTCCTGGTGTTGTGGGTTCATTCTTGACCAGTTGTCCTGGTAACGTTAATGTCGTGCCATAGACTAGTTCAGCGGCCGTGCATCCGATGTCTTCCTTTACAGACGAGCGAATCCCAAGGAGTACAAGTGGTAAAGCATCGCTCCATTTTGAAGGGTCCGGTTGTGCCATCAGAGAGCTTTTTAGTTGGCGATGGAATCTTTCAACCATGCCATTAGCTGCCGGATGATAAGCTGTCGTTTTAACATGATTTACTCCAAGAAGTTTAGTGAACTCGTTAAATAGGACGGATTGGAATTGGGGACCGCGATCTGTTGTGATTGTTGATGGTACGCCAAAGTTGGATATCCAGCGGTCGAGGAAAACTGAAGCCACTGTCTCTGCCGATGTGTCTTTAATGGGGCATGCTATGGCCCATCTTGTGAACCTATCTATTGCGGTGAGGATATGTGTAAAAGAATTTGATGGTGGCAGAGGCCCAACTAAATCTAAATGCACGTGCTGGAAGCGTTTGTCAGGGATAGGGAACTTCCCAATTGGACTGTAGGTGTGTTTTTGAGTCTTACTGCGTTGGCACTGGAGACAGCTACGTGTCCAACGTTTAACATCCGAGTTGATTTTAGGCCACACAAAACGTTCGGTAATGAGCTTTGTTGTTGCTCTGATGCCTGGATGTGAAAGACCATGTAAATGCTGAAATATTTTTCGTCGGCAAGCGTGTGGGACAAACGGACGATTGTTGCCTGTTGAAGTGTCGCACATGATTAATGCATCTGAAAGGGGAATAGGTACAGGTTTGAGGTCTAAGCTAGACTTTTCTTTGCAGGCTTTTAATTCTGCATCGTCTGCTTGTAATTTAGCTAAGGTTTCAAGGCTGATGTCATGATTGAGTACCATCGTATTGATATCCCTCCTAGATAGTGCATCTGCAACAATGTTCATGTGACCTTTGATAAACCTGATGTCTGTGGTAAATTGGGAGATATAATCAAGTTGTCTTGCTTCTCGTGGGGAGTGTTTGTCATACGATGTGCTAAAAGAATGGCAGAGAGGTTTGTGATCTGTCATAATGATGAAATCACGACCCTGTAGCAAAAAATTGAAATGTTTTACTGCTAAATACATGGCTAAGAGCTCACGTCCAAAAGTACTATAACGTTCTTGTGCTGGCGATAATCTCTTGGAGAAAAAGGCAATGGGGTTAATAGTGTTGTTTACCCGCTGTTGCAATACTGCCCCGACGGCTTTTTGTGAAGCATCCGTGCATAGGATCAACAGTGTTGTGGGGTCAGTATTTAGGTGTTGAAGCATGGTAGCATTAGCAATCATGGATTTAGCTTTTTCAAATGCTATTTTGGCATCGGAAGGTAACTTGAATATTTTGTTCTTTTCTTTCTTGGTACCTGATTTATCATTTTTCAGTAAATCTGTCAATGGCTGTAGTACATCGGCACAATTTGGTAGAAATCGTCGATAAAAATTACATGTTCCGAGAAAACGACGTAGCGATTTTACTGAGGTTGGTTCTGGATAGCTGGAGATAGCTTTGACTTTTTCTTCAAGCGGTTTAATTCCTTGGGAATCAATGTGGTGTCCCAGGAATTCCAGAGATGAGGCGCCAAATATACACTTCGAAGGGTTGATTACAACACCATAAATTTTGAAACGTTCAAAAAGCGTATGTAAGTGTTGAACATGTTCTTCAGTGGAAGAACTAGCGATTAAAACATCGTCGATATAGACAAATACGAAATCCAAACCTCTAGTTACTTCGTCCATAAATCTCTGGAAGGTTTGAGCGGCGTTTTTTAGTCCGAAAGGCATCCTCAAGAATTCAAACAAGCCAAAAGGTGTGATTACGGCTGTTTTCTCGATATCCTCAGGTGCCATCGGTATTTGATGGTATGCTCGGACTAGATCTAACTTTGAAAAAATCTGTTTTCCATGTAGATTTAAAGAAAAATCATGCAGGTGAGGTATCGGATACCGGTCTGGGATAGTCTGGTTATTCAAACGGCGGTAATCTCCACATGGGCGCCAGTCTTGATCTTTCTTGGGAACCATATGCAGCGGCGAGGCCCAAGGACTGTTAGATTGTCTGATTATCCCAAGTTGCATCATATGTTCGAATTCTCTCTTAGCGAACTGCAACTTGTTTGGAGGGAGTCTTCTCGCCCTGGCGCGAATAGGTGGTCCTGTAGTAGTAATACTGTGTTGGACATGATGTGCGGAGCATTCGTTTTGGTAATCAGCTCTGGTTATACTTTCATACTTCGACAGGATATCGGTGAAAATTTTGTTTTCAGGTCTTAACATACGGACTCCATGAACTTCGTAACTGGAGATAGTTGTGCCACTGACCTGTAAGCTTGTGTTTTTGTCGATTAGCTTCTTTTTTGCCATGTCTACAAGTAGATTGTAAGCACCGAGAAAATCGGCCCCGATAATGGGTTGTTTGATTTCAGCTACGATGAAAACCCATGTGAAACGTCTCCGGAGACCGAGATCTAAAATAAGTGATTGCTCGCCATAAGTTTTAATGACTGTGTTATTGGCTGCGACTAGAGACAATTTAGTACTCTGAGAGTGCCGTCGTTGAGAGAGGTGTAATGGGATAATGCTGATTTCGGCTCCCGTATCGACCAAAAAATCTGAGCCCGAAATACGATCCCTGACATGAAATAGACGGCTCGGGTAATGGCCAGAAACAGGCGCCGCCATCACTGTCTGGCCGGGCCGTTTCCCTGATTCTCTGTGTCGGACGCAGAAAATGTGCACGGTCGTGTACAACGCCGTGCTTTGCTGCCGTATTTTTGGTGGTACCAACAAACATCAGATGTTCGCTTCGATGACCGAGACCGTTGTCTAGAAAAAGATCTTCGTCTGGAGGGAGATCTCGATTGTCTAGCCTGGATGGTTGCTATGGTTGATCGCAGAGACGCCAGCTGGCTCGTTAATTGTGTTAACTGCTTTTGAAAAGAGGCTAGGCAGCTGATATCTGTTGGTCCAGGTGGTTGTAATGAGTTCACACAGTAATTGTCGTGATATACTTCTGTCATTTTATCTGCCATGTCGGCTAAGTCATCAAGTGCGACGAATTTCCCTGAAACACTGAGAATTTGTCGAACGCTGTGTGGTAATCTTTGAAGCCACATTTGCTTTAGAAGGGCTTCGTCTAGCTTATATGGACCAGCGAGTTGTTTCATGTGACGGAGAAGTTGAGAGGGTCTTTTATCTCCCAAGTCACAAGATGTTAACAATTGTTGCAGCCTTTTCTCATCTGAGACCGTGGTGCGTTGAATGACTGCTGCTTTTATCTTATCATATGGTTCGGAATCTGGCACGTGATCGATTAAATCTCCAACTTCAGCGGCAATCTCAACAGGAAGTACACCGACTACGTATGCATACTTTGATGCCTGAGATTTTATGCCTCTAGCCATGAATAAAGCTTCAATCTGAGCAAACCAGATTCTTGGATTATTAATACAATACGTTGGTAATCTTAACTCTGAGATAGCGTTGATCGAGTTTAAAGCATTATCCTCTAGTTGTGGAGAGTTTAGAAAGTTGGTCGGTGAACTTTCAATATCAATAAGCTTACCGGTAGAGTTCATAATGACAAAAACGAAAAAAAATGGTGTCGTGCCAGGTAATAATAATACTAAAATATGCAGATATATAAGGTAAATGTCTATATAAAAAAAACGAGGCTCACCAAATAATTGTGGTGGACCAAACAAATATGAACGCAAAAAGTATAAACAAAGTTACTAAAGATCAATAGTAATATTAGTATATACAGTTAATTGTTACAAATACACTAAAAATAGGGACGTTACTTAAATTGACCAAACGCTGCGTGTTCTGATTCGGTCCGGTAATGTAAATCCACAATTATAAATGTTTAATAATTCCAAACAGGTTGGGCGAACTCTCTGGTGTTATAATCCGACGTAGAATGTGATGTATTCCAATTACAGTCTATAAATAATGATAATATTTGATTTAGAATTCAGCTAATTCGATCACAAATGGAAATAGAACGAGGGATGTGTGAGTAGTAATGTATTTGTTAGCCGGTAAGCATATGTCACGCTATGCTCGAATTACAGCGGAAAAAGGTGCTCAAAGTCATTAACATAAACAACACGTACAGTCATTTAATAATAAATGTACATGCGGTGAGAAATTGACAAAATAAATACAAATAATATTAGAAACTATTTACAAGATAAGCTTGTTAGAGTTATCTCCACAGCGTCACATCCACATACTTTTACTAAGAGTGTTGGACATTGAGTGAGAAAACCACTACACAGTATTCACTAAACAAAGAATTCGCGTATAGACAGGAGTTCAGCTGTTGAAGAATGGCTCATTGTTGACATCACAGATTTCGGAGCTATTCTATATGGGGTACAATCTACGGTAATGCAACACTTCCTTCAATATTTCAGACAGATTTCGTTGACGAGTGGCTATCAACATAAACAATGGTTCTAGGGTTTCCTGAGAATGAGCTCCAACCACCGAACAAGTTAGGTACATGTTTATCAAGAATTATTCTGAATAATATGAGCTGTTTGGTTTTGCATAGCATCGTGGGATAAATTTGTTGAAATCACTGATTTTCGTCTTCCGTTCCAAAACAATATCATCACACACATATTCACATCAATAGACAGTTACTTCATCAATCAGTCAAACACGTCTACTGTGATCCTATTGACCTACTGCGCATTAAACTCATGTATATTGAAATCAAAGTTCAAATATTTATGAAAATCAACAGAGTCTCTCGTGTCTTTCCGTGAAAACCTATGATGAATTGGACAACATCAAATGCTATTCCATGTGATGTGCGATCCAATGTGCTTTGATTGAGTGTCATCAATATGTTTTCCTGTTGACAACTTCATCTCCAACGAGACTGATGTGGAAGTTCATCCGTTAACTCGTCACAAGTGTTTTTACAGACGCAGGAAGTACACATAGTTTACTTACATTATACTGTAAACCATGGAGCGACAACAGTGTAGACTGAATGTGGTATGAGGTGTGAAACACTGGGTGGCGACACAGTCTAGTGAAGTGTTCACGAGTACAATTTGTGTGTGAACAGTTGTTGTTTATTGCTCTGAGGTCCTATACCAGAAAGAACCACTAGTTCGGTGTTCTCTGGTCAACACTGACAGCCCAGTTAAGATCAGTCCATGATTCGAACTAAAAATTGGAACAATTTCACAGGAAATTTAGTCGTTCATTATTCATAGTTCTCGTTTTCGAATAACCAGCCGATTTTTACCATCTCAGTTGCATGGAAATATTTGATCGAATGACGACACTTCAATTCCCCTACTACTGTTCTGTTTCGTAAGTCATGTTTAGGCATGAATTTTTATCGTTTTGTGAGTTAGACTATTCAGAAGAATGTTCATTCATAAGAATGAGGCGTCAATTGGATTCTCATTAGACTTTCAATTTGACAGAGTAGAGCTGAACAAATCATCACATTTGTTTATTGACACTCATTTATTTTGTGGTCTTTCCTTCCTCATAAATGGGAGTTTATAACCTGTGCAATCTTCAATCTTTTTAGTCTAATATTGCTTGATCGGAGTCTCATATTTTAGTTGTATGCATACAGATCCGAATAAACAATGATCTCTGTCAGAAAACGTGCACTCTTAGCGCCTGACTTCATGTCATCTCCACTTCGAAATTTCATCAAATTTCTAGATTTAAAACATGCCATCACTTCTACCAACGGCAAATATGAAGTAAAGTCAACCTTTCCACTACGCGTTCAATCAGGATATTCTTTCACTGTTTACATCGACCAAAGAAGATTGACTTAAAAGTTCAGTCGTTGAAGTAGTACTTTTTTATGGTTCCTCAGTAAAGATAACAAACCGGGAAGTATTACAAATCATGCTGTGGTCATATTGTATCACGTAATCTAAGTATTTGTCATGCAGTTTGCTCAAGGAATATTGCTTCCCGATATCGTCGTGTTAGCATATTTCAAAATGCTCGCGGTACATGGACAATGACTTGAGCAAGGCTTTCTTGAGGCCTGTAGACTATTAAAACATTCGACTTCTTAGGTTACCAGTAAGTTTTTCGCAATTAGTCACAAGGAAGAAGAAGAACGTATTATGATTATATGCTGATTAATACTTATAGGTGAAGTGTATTGTGATCACAAGAGAACTGGTGCTCTGTGTAGGAACCGAATACATGTCAACATCTTTCACAACTTGATAAGTGCTCATCAACGCATACTAATGACTAGTGACTAATGTCACGATTGCTGAGTGATTATCTATGTCAATTACTTAGGCATATGAACAAAAATAAAGATGGTGACGCCCATATAAAAATGTTTGAGCCTTACCTGCATTCCAGACCAGGAAAAAGAAGGGAAACCAAACAACTGCTCCTTGTGGCCTAAACATATTTGTACTCCGTAATTCACCAACGTTTTCTGAAGTCAATTAGACAGTTTGCATTCTGATGTCTGTTTAAATACAATGATAATGTGTCTTTCACTCACAATTAAAACGTATATGATTGGCAAGTGAAAAGAATGAAGTCATCCTATCAGTCGATGCCACATTTTTAAACTATATCAAGGTCAAAACCAATGTGAATGTGACCATTATTTGAAAAATAATAATAGTAACCATCACGTATAACGAGAGAGGGTCCAAACAAATATTCATTCAATCTGCGATAAATCCATCACCTAATTTCTCATTTGTTGACCACCTCTTCTAGTATGACGCACGAGTGTCATATGAGAACTCGAAATAAAAAAATGTTCAACACCGTCCATCTTCACTTTATCCTGCTCACACTTACCCTGTTAATTTGCGTATGCGCTTATTCAGTTTCCGGCTAAAATATTTTAAACTGTGTTGAAACAAATGATTATGTGAAAGCCTCATACCAGATGAAGTTGCGCTGATGTACAAAATTAAGTTTGTCAAAATACCATTCATTCAATCTCACCTTCAAATACACTTAGTTCATTCATAGTACAAGCAAACTTTGAATTATTTTTTTCTGGTTAGCATTTTTTTAGCGAGTTAGTTTTCTACGGGATGGGATCGCTAACCTCATGCCCAACTCTCCTCCTTTACCCGGGCTTGGGACCGGCAGTAACTCTAGAAGAGCTACAGGCAGTTCTACTATACGGATGTGAAACTTGGAGAATTAACACAACCATCATTAAAATGCTACACGCACATATAATCATTTTTCTACACAAGACACTCAAAGACTGTTGGCTGGATACTATCAGCAACCGTCTACTGTAAGAGAGAACAAACTAGGTTCCAGTTTAAGAGGAAATTAGGAAAAGATGATGGAAGTGGATAGGACGCACAATGATGAAATCATCAACCTGCATCACGAGACAAGTGCTAACTTGGAATTTCGAAGGCAAACGGAAAAGAGGAAGATCATGGAACACACTGGGCTGAGAATTGGAAGCAGGCATTAATAGGATAAATAACAATTGGGAACAACTGGAAAGTATTGTTCAGGCCAAGTTTGATGGAGAATCCTCATGTGCAGCCTATGCTTCTCCATGAGGGGTAACAGGCTTAAGTAGGTAAGTAAGTAAGTCTTGTTTGTTTGTTTATTATTCACGATAAGTTACTTGTCACTATCGAAAATAGTGACAAATTTGAAATCTTATTTTAAGAAAAAAATTATCTAATTCACCTGCACAGTAAGCCAAGTATAGAAAGAGAAGGTGAATTGTCACTACTCGTAATCTAAATATGGTTATGACTGAGCATTCATCGGGTCATTTCATGATTAATAATGCTACATACAATCAGTTCTCTGTTTAATTACCTGCAGACAATGATTAAGGTCATATCGTAAAAGTAAGGTGACCAGTGTATGAAAAGATACAACTAATCTAATCAGTAAATACCATTGTTTCATTTAAAAATATTACAAACTCATACTCATTATGAATGAGACCATGTTAATGATGATCATAACAACAAGCTAGAAATAAGTGATATGTGCCAGAAACAACCACTGTTTAAAAATAGACTGAAATAACTTCTTCATTTTCTTGGCTTAAAGCCAAACTATAAGTATTTCAATAGGAATTCGGAACTGATCATCACTGATGAATGTAAGGATAAAAGTAATTGTTAAACGACAATACACGCTTCACTATGACCTGACAGAATTTAGTAGGACTATACACTGTACTCTAAATCCGTTTGTAGCTGTTCTAGGGCTACTGGTGGTCTCACATCTGAAAGAAATATGGGGTTAGTCATAATGTCGGCAACCCCATCCCTCAGAAAACGACCTTGCTTATAAAATGTTTACCAGAATAAAAAATCTTAATAATTTAAACTCTGCACTCTTTGACGAAAAAATTATTACACCTCATGATGACAGCCAAGATTCTTCAGAAGTCACGAGGCTTTAAAAAAAGACACTTAGTGAATTTAACAATCTAATGATATTTATCTCTATTTAGCTCGAAAGCTCATCAAGTAAACATTGATATATGGAATTCATAAAGTTGGAAACTAACTATATTGTGTGCCGGCTCAGTGGTAGAGTATTTGAGAACTTGCGTTCTCGTTACAGTATGTATTATGATGGACCATTCAACTAGTTATAACACAGTCAGAGAAGTTTTGAAAAACCTGCTTGCACAATAACCTGTTACTGCTCCAGAAGTGATACTAATTTTGATACATGCAGCGATCACTGAATTGAATAAAGTGATGCTGAATCTTCAATAAATGAGAAGAGTTTGACTCAAAGGCGTTAAGTTGATCAGGATAGACGTTACACAGAATTAGCTGAAATGAGAGTATCTTATCGAAATGATTGATGAGAATGGTCAAAGCGAGGCTCATAAGATTAATAGAATCATCTAATTATGTGGCAGTTCAAAGTGCATCACCTAAGAAATCACCACAAGTCGAACTTGTCACCCATAGTATCAGGTCTTGAATTTGCAACGGAGAATCGAGTCTCGTCAATAGACAGAAACAATGTGATAGGAAAACAGATATTAGCAGAACACCGTGATATATTAGCTCTATGGGTTTCAAAAATTCCATCACATAAAAATTTATTAAGATCATTGATCTATAAAACTAAATGGTAAAGTAGATAATGCTAAACTATCAAATTATACAAAACAGAATAATCTTAATAAAAACACTGTGTAGAAAGATAAACAAACACAAAAGTTCAAATGCCTGAGCATATTACAAACCAAATGTGTGAAATATGATAAAGAAAACAAAATATTTATTAGGTAGAAAAGTATATCTTACACATCAAAGAAAGTTCATATAAACCGGACAAGAAATAAGTTGGATGCCAGTTAAGCGGTAAAATATCTACCGATCTAGTGCAAAATCAAAAGCATGTAGGTTTATGTTATGAATTTACGTCCGGCTTTAATCACGTGATTTATCCAACAATCAAAATACGACTTATACAATCCTAGCACTATGCCAAACCAATGACGTTCGACCGGTATGAGCAGCCTAGCGCCCTTATTGGTCCTATTGTCCGCTTAGCCCGTCCGCTTGAGTACAGAACACAATACCAAATTCTGCAATATGGATGATTTATTTCAAACATACTCGGTTTATATATCCACCAAACAGACCGCAATGCACCATAAAATAGGAAATAACATTTGTACGCAATAAAGCCAAAAAGTGACTGTAAACGTGGGAGACAGTAGTCAATAAACTGAGCATAGTAGTCAATTAATATGTCTCAGAAGTTACTCGTGATTTAATCTTCGCTCGGATATAACAGATTAGTGTGCTGTAAGCAATAGAGATGAGAAGAAACATTGACAAAGCTCAAACAAAATAGAAAGTACAGTGCAAAGAATGATGATAATTTATGAAAGTAAAATGAACAAAGCACAGTCAAGTAAAATGAGAACGAAATCCATATTTGACAAAATTCAAGAACTGATATTTATGTTGAGCACATTACTGAAGAAATTGAAAATGTAGCCAACAGAAATGCATTCATCAGAACTCGTGAACAATGGAGTGAAATATGTGTCGATTATGAGATAAATATCAGCCTAACATGATGCATGGAATGTTTCACAAATTTACAAATTAATCGAAGTTAGACGTGTATAGTTTACGATGCATACTCACTGGTCTAGAAATTGATCGATTTCAATCGAGCTCGAGATAATTGGATACCAGTGCAGGCTACACGTTGGTGTATTCACACTGATGACGAGCATCATACTAAAAAGACTATCATTACATTCAGCTCGTTTGTAATCTTCCAGAATATTTCAGCTGTTCATATAAACAATGAGAATAATGCAGTTTCCACAAACTGACATGAAGTCATAAAGTATGTGCTCAAAAGTGACTAGAATAAAAGTGTAATTCATTAGTCATAAATGATCGTTTGAAATAATGTGTGTTCAGAAATATGAATATGTATTCGTCTGATTGTAGAGATCCACTTCAACACCAGTGTAGAACCATGACAAGAAACTAATTGAAAAGAAGTATATCTTTGTAATCTCAACTCGTAATTTTAACATACAAATCCGTTTGCATTCTTCAAGCAACTGGTGATCCTTATAGAAGCTAATAAAATTGGTTATTATACTTATTGTTAAATATGAGGGGTATGAGTTAGATTTCATTAGGTAGAAGTAACTTTACAAAATAGGGAGTTTAAAGGTTGATATTTGAAATTAAATGAGATGATGAGTATAAAGTTTTCTTACTAATAACTTAACAACGTTGCTTAAAAAGCGAATGGAATGTAAATATCAATTCTTACTATGTATTCTACGACCAATAATAGAAGGGATCGAAAATTTGATAAGTAACGTAAGTATTTGTGATCAGATAAATATATTATCGATATACAATGAGTTGTAGATGGTATTCATCTCGAATTTAGTTTAAGTAGGAAATCAAACATACTGTTAATGCTAGCATGTGGATTCCTAAACTGAATCAGTTCTCGATTCACCTAGAAAACCAAAATCGTCTGCTCTCGCTACTTAAGTTTAATTCTTGTATCATTTGGTTGATGAAAAGATACATCATTCTTGGCAATTAACAAGAAAGCACAATTGGTAAGATCGACACTCACACATGTAACTAGGTAGTTGAGTAGCGTCTAGAGGTTATTCCATGCAAAATGATGTCTTCATTTTCTAATTTCTGAAATGAGAATACACATATTTCTGACTAACAGTTATCAAGTGATTTTATCTCCAGCTGTGTTATTGGGTCTTTAATTTCCATCGGTTAAATATGTTTTGACATCAAACATTCTGTTATTCATGTAAATATTAGTAATAATGGCATAGTTGTATTGTAGTGAACAATCGTAAAGTAAATGCTTAATTTGCAAATGTCCACCAGTTGTCTCATAAAGACTCAGACTTCATTGTTCTTGCAT